CATCATCTGCCCACGCCACTACTCCAGCTTCGGATGTGTGTAGGAGGCAGGAGGGGACATATTGGAAAGGATGGGTGAGGCCAGGTCTGAGCACAGCTTTGCTCCACCAATTCAATTCACAAATGGAGTCTGGTCCCTTGGTCATTAGCTAGATCTGCCCCATGGCTGCTCTAACGTACTCAGGGCTAAGGCCAGGGCCAGGGCTAGGATAGCTTGATAATCAGAGAGCCCTCCCCACCCCATCCCACCTACACAGGTGGATCTCTGAAACTGACTTATGGATGGAGAATCAAAGAACAGCATGCAAAAGGGAGATGAAAATATCGTAGGTTCTGATGCTGAAATGTGAGACCTACTAGTGCTGGTATAGATGGAATTCCGCCCTAGAATTTGAAGTTAAAAACTACTTTAAGAAAAAATGCTTTTCTAGATATACTAGCCCCCAGTGAGAGGTGAAAAGGAAGTTTAAATATCAGTGCTTGCTGCTGGAAATGCTGGGACAGCAAATGGTGCGTTACTACTCAGATATTCAGGAACAGCCACTCAGATACTTTGGGGATGAGGTAATAGGCTTAGCATAGCCTGAAATAGACTTAAAAAAACCCCACCACACACATACACCCCTAGATTTTATTCCAGAACTTGGCGTTCGCCAATTCACATGAAAAAATAAATATCAAACAAACAAACAAAAACCTTTTGCTCCAGATAATTAGTTAATTGTAAAGTAAATGAGTCCGCGTACATAAGCTTTTCCAATGGAACATAGCACACTGGTGCAACAACCTTCCTGAACAAACTACATTTGAAAGGAAATTACTGCAAATAAATTATAAAGTAAGTCTTTTTATAGTCCTCTTTCTTAGGGGTTCTGCTTATCTTTATATCATTTGTGTTTCCCAAACTACCATCAATGAACAGACAATTTATTTGGACTGTAACTTCTTTGGGGCTGGGGCTGTTTTTTAATATATGTTTGTACATTGCCTAGGATGCAGGATCATGATCTGGCTGCTAATCTAATATAAAGAACAGAAGTTTGCTGAATGCTTTTATGTGATCTGCTGGATTTTACCCAGAAGTGGATTGACAACCAGTGTAGAATGCAGAACACATGTATAATATGTTCCATCCAGTCTTCCCCATCTTGAACGCAAGCAGCCACCTTTTGTACTAGCTGAAATTAGTGTCAGATACAGTGTAATGCAGTAGAATAGTCTTGAGGCAAAGGTGTGGAAAAGCTTGGTGAAGACCAAATCCAGGAGGAAAGGGTGTAATCTTGTGGCAGGCCACAGATGGGAACAAAATGTTTCTGGCCACTATTCTAATTTAGGAATCTAGATGCAGTGATCAGGGCCTAGAAAGATCCAAAGATCATGAACCACTTTGACAATAAGAAGGCAAAGACCCTTGCTTAAAAGAGCAGTTCTAGGCTATTCCAGACCCTCAGAAAGCTTTCCCCTGCCAATCTGCATTATTTTTGTCTTCTCAGGGCTGATTTTACACCAGATGGTTTTAATCCAGATCTCAATCTCTTCCAGATTTTGGGAGAGCATAGAGCTGCTATGCCTGGGTCAGAAGAAAGGGAGATACAGCTGAAAATCATCAGCATATTTATGACAATATAATCCATATTATCTCAAAATGTCTCTCACATGACTGAGTACTGTAGGATTTTCCATGTGAGGAGAAGGACATCACCCAGCACCAATCTCTGGGAATGAGTGGAACCATGTACACAGATTGTCTCTACCCCTGCTAGCATTCACAGTTGTGTCAACAGCACCTCAAGTTCATATGTTTCAAAAACAACCAAAAGAACAAGCAGTATCAGCAAGGATTACGGAGTCTTTGCTCATAGGCCCAAGAACAACAGTCTCTGTGACAAAACACCCATTCCTGTCCCATGCCTTGGTCTGAAGCATGATTGACGGAGAACCCAGAAAACTGAGGATTGCAGATGCTGCTAGAGTTGACCTCTACCATCTTCTCAGTACACTTCTCAAGGAAGGAGGAGGTTAGGGGCTGTGGGTTGGTGGCAATACAGCTGGTTGGAAAATGAGTTGTCTTTCCACCCAAAAAATTGATAAAATGCAATTTTTTTGCTTTTTGTCAAAACTTTTGTTCCTTGGAGGGTTGGCGGGGGAGGGGGGTTCGATGAAAAAAATATTTCCAGCAACTGAAAATCTTTAGGGTTTGGAGTTGGCTTTTTCAAATGAAAACAAAAAAAAATCAATGAAAAGAAAAATTTTCCATGAAAACGTTTTGTCCTCAAAAAAAGTTGTTGTTTTTTTCCTTGAAAAAGAGGTTTAGAAAACAAACTTTCAAACAGCTCTGACAGTTTGTCCTCCTTCAGGGGACCTTCTGTCGTACTGATCTGGGTTTATATAAAAATTTTCTACCACAATAAAAATGTCAAAGCTCAGAGGACTGCAAGTGATTTATTTCTCTACTACAAATATCTGTCTGAGGGCCAGCTCCTCAGGTGGTGCAAGTGAAATCAATGGAGTGCTTCTGATTTACACCAGCTGAAGAACTGACCCTAAAATCTCTTAATATGCCCTATGTGAAATGGAACGTTTAACATTTTTAATTTAACAATCCCTCATTAAAACTAATCTATAAATAATCTTCTGTATCTATAGTGAATCACATTAAAACAAAAAAGGTCATATTTAGAGTTTTCTATAACAGACTATATACACACAGATGAAAGTACCAGCTGACTACCTTTCTAGTCAAATCAGGCTCATAAATTGACACATTTTGGTTAATCTGTATGTTGAGCATGTTACACATCACTGTTATAATGCAGACATCTTAACTTCAAATGAGACGAAAACAAACATAAAATTAGCACTGTAGGGAACCCCCGCCACTCAATTTGTGTTGGGTTTAACACCTTATTTTATGTATCCTTCTACATAAACAGTTTTATATTAGTCCTTGATATGGTGCTTTCAAAGAATTAAATGTTGAGCTGTTTAAAAGCACTCATTAGCAGCTTTAATGCTGAGGGGAGCACATTTGTTAGTAAAATCTTGTAAATCTAGAATACCCCTTGAGCTAGCTGTTTGCGTGCGAAAAAGCTGAATACAAATATGATATTTTTAATCACAAAATCTTCCAGAAAAATAATCAATCTAGGAAGAACTATAAACTGTACTTTTCTGAACAAAGGAAGAAAAGTGACTGACTGTCCATATGAAAGCAAAGCAATAAAATCTCCAAGACGTGTAACTTCATTTATAAAACAGAGCACATTTCATAGTAAAGGGTTTAGAAATCTACAACTTTCTACACATACAACAATAAACATATGTTAATTGGGTTTAGTTTAAACACAGCCAACAACAGATTTATTAAATTAACACTTAATTCCTTTCAATCGTGTATAACAATGTCTAGGCTTTTAAAAAGTAACTTCATTGGAGGTATATACATAACATTCATATCTATCCATTTTGTTATGTTTTATGTTACAAATGCATTTTAATTTATAAAGCACAGAAGTGTATGTATTATACACACTGAGATATTTTCCACCTAAAATATTTTAGGGGGAGGAGATCATTTACATCTAGCTTGATCACACTAATTGTGTTGTCGACAGTTGTAACTGCTGTGTTTTTTCAGTGTGTTACATATGTTTTATGTTACTGTTTAAAATTTCTGGAGCATGTAAATACTTATATTCTTGAGTGTTTAAAAATTACACTAATTCAAAAAAACTTACACTAATTCCTACACTATTAAGGAGGCAAAATATTTCTAATGTGTTCAATGCATTATAATCAGGAGACAAGAGACTAGCTGAAATATGTAGAAGCATAGAGAAAATCTGGGTTCCTACAAAGTAATGTTTAAACATAAAATGCTAAGCATCTCAGGATTTACAGATAATTAAAAGCAAATAGGACAACACTATCATATTCTGTTTGGATTATAGCACTCTAGTCCCTTCCATGTGATATTATAGTCCCAGAACCACACAACATTTCCCTGTTGAAAACCTTTCTCAGTATGTTTCAAGGAAAGATGCTTTGTACTATAAATTCCAGGAAGAAGGTTTCTGGAAGTAGGTTTACATTGCCATATTTAAATGAAGGGCAGTAGCTTTTATTTATTTATTTATTTTACTCTGAAGGAATTTTTTCATGCCCTGCTTTAGAGCAATTATTTTCCCCAACGTCCTAATTTTCCTAATCTTTCCTAGAAGAAAAAAAGAGAAGTACAGTGACAAACCATGCATATTTTAGCTAATGTCATGATAATAATCAGACTTTGCCATTACTCATGCTAGTTTATAAAATTGTCTTCAGATACTGAAAATTGTTCTTATTTTCTCTTGGCTTTGTTTGTTTCAGGTTTTTGTTTGTTTCTTTGTTTTCTTTGGGATTTAAGTAGAAATTACTACACAAAAAGCTATGCCAATTCTTTCCAGCTTTGAGCCACTATTAGAAACAGACTTATTCAAAGCCCTCCTATATTGGCTATGAATATATTTTTAAAGTATTTCTCTAACATAAAAAAGCTGGCCAGAGCTTAAACTATTTTTTTAATGTTATGCCTTTGCTTTTTATGGTGTTTTATGGTACAATCTAATTAGTATCTTACAGTGTCCTTACATGTAGTTAGAGTGTAGAGTTTCATTAAATACACTGAACATTTTATTTTTGGGGACCTCTGTGACACTCTCTAAGCCGTTTTAAGCAGGCTAAAAATGTGTTTTCAGTCAATCAAGCCTCTCAAAGATAGGTTATCCACCTCTGGCTAATGCAGGGCTATAAAACCTGCACCATTTCTGACGGCACGATACACTCTGTTATTATACCCGTAACTGCCCACAGCTATAGAATTCAGAAAAAAAGACAATTATTTCTGGTACTTCATAAAGCCTACTATAACAAATTATTTGAAGATTAACTAATAGCAGTTGCAGCATTGGATGGTTAGCCAAATTAGGCTTGACTGATTAGGCTGATGCTTCCTCTACTTACTTTTTACCCTGTCTTCTTGGAGCAGTTCCTGGCCAGCAGAGGATACAACGGAATTAGTAACCAGGCCTAGCTTTCAATCTGCACCAGGGCAAGACAGAAGTGAAAAAGTCAGTGATGCCTCAAGCTTATCTAACAACTGCTTCATAAACCCCATAAAGCCTCCAGTGCCTAAAATCCTATTGCACAAATTCATATTTCCCAGGACCCAATATGCTGTATAAGCCCAGCATATTCCACAAATTAAATCTCATATACATAATTGTGAGACCAATGGTAATCTTGATCCAAAATGTCATGATGGATTAGAAAGAATACATTGTGCTTTCTCCTTTTACTTAGGGGAGACAATTCATCAATCGAAACAGAGAAGTCCTGTCAGAGCATGCTGCACAGTGATCGGCAATATCCTGTTGATTTTGTTTTTGTCCTGTGGAGGGCACCAGTATTCAGTGCCATGTCACTGAAGTGGGCATTTGGTTGAAATTTGGGAAGAAAAGGGGTTTGCTTTTTGTTTGTATTTAAGAACGGAGTTGTCATTTACCTTTGTCCTCAGGTCCTTTGTGCAAAGTTATTACATTTTCTTTCACCTTTGGAGAGTTGGGAGAAGACATCATTGGAAGCTTTGAAAAGTCTGAGAGTGCTCTAGTCCTCAATAAAATGCAAGAAAAATGTTCATATGTTAGACATCTCAAGACACAAACAGGCCAAACTTTCTCTAGGACCATCAGAAAAGCCATTGATGTGAGTGAGGCCTTTCATGGGCTAAGAAGGCTTCACTTCTGGTTGCAGTGGAAGAAATCTCAGGAAAAATCGAGGCTTAAATAGAGTTTATATTTAGCCATAAGATGATCATCCTGAACTCTCTACAAAGACCTTTCATTTCCATCTGGAATGGGTATACGATAACCTAGTCAGGCCAGCCTCTCAGTCACCAATCAAAACACTGACTCTTGACATTTGCCTAATTATCTTTTCTCATCATCACTCATCTCTTGAAGTCTTTGCTTCATTCAGATGCCAGGTATTTCCTAAATTAATCATGTCATTGAAAGCGGCATCTTTTCATGTAAATGGACTTTATTATGTGGATCGAAAAGCCCCCCTTTTGAGCTGCAAAAGCCCATTTGTAGAGAAAGTGTCTGAAATCTGACATGCTGCCTTCTCAAGAAAGATTCTTAGTGGTGACCTCCCAGCAAGAGCTAAGCATCCGTCACTAGGAGTGCGTGTGTGTGCTGCTTACACCCTAGGGCTGGATGCATGCTAATTTGCCCCATTGTTTCAGGGTGAGTGGCTTTCCAGTACTTATGAACAAAGCCTTTTTGCATAAGCCTCTGTGTACAATTATTTTATGTTCACATCATCCTATGATCCAATCTTTATTCCTGATATAGCAGGGGATGGAGGACCCCTTTGTTTTCTTGTAGCAGCCGTGTTAGTCTGTATCCACAAAAAGAAGAACAGGAGGACTTGTGGCACCTTAGTTACTTATTTGTTAGTCTCTAAGGTGCCACAAGTCCTCCTGTTCTTCTTTTTGTTTTCTTGTTATACTGGGGATTACAGGCAGGATTTAGCATGTTAGCAAGGACACTCCTCTTTCATTAAATCTCACTTGACAAATGTTCAGGATCATAAGATTGATCAGTGTATTGCATTGTTCATCTTACCTCTAAGTTACAAAGAGACACCATCTTCAAACTATGTTGATCCAACAAAAAAACAATTTGCAGTACTTGATTGTGTGTGGTCAGTGTTATGTGGATAAATAAGGAATTAAAAATGAGAGATTTGTCCTCCAGAATGTTGTCTGAACTTTAGCCCTATGAGAGGAATGTTCTAATTTTGCTCATATATTTAGTTCCAATGTGTTATATAACTAGCTGGATGGTGTGTCTGATTATTTATCAGCTCCAATAATACCATCCTGTACTTAGGTAGTTCCCTTTGGTGTGTCTGGTAACATATTTACAAAGTTCTTACAACATCTCAAACTCGTTTTCTACTCTTTGGAGCTTTAAAAAACCCCATGCTAATGAATGGCTTAGTTTCCTTTGGTGGCACTACAGAAGAATAATATTAATTGCATGCAGAAATCTATCCTTAAATTCAAAATAAAAGTTGTGGTATTAACTGACCAAAGGCACAGAAATGAAACTTAATGTTAACACTCCATTATTGCTTTAGAATAATTGTACGTATTAGGATCATTCTTTTCAGTCCAAAAACTGTATGACTGAGTTGATCAAGAAGGAAGCAAAACAAGAAAAAAATGTACAGCTATCCTATGCATTTGTATCATACAAAAATCATTCTTTCATGGATGCCAGATTTAGCTAGTGAAGAAGATATATCTAATACTGTGTGTGTATATCTGTGTGTGTCTCTCTCTCTTTGAATGGGGGAAAAGAGGATATGTAGTGTTGGTAGCCTTAACTTTTCCTTTCCTCACTTTCTATTCTTTTTGTTACTAAATAATGGTGATACAACAACCTTAACTGATGCACACTGCAGTATGCAGTATTGTTGTAGCTGTTTCGGTCCCAGGATATTAGAGAGACAAGATGGGTGAGGTGATACCTTTTACTGGACCAACTTCTGTTGGTGAGAGACACAAACTTTTGAGCTTACACACAGGTCTTCTTCAGGTCTCTCTCACCAACAGAAATTGATCCAATAAAAGATAATACCTCACCCACCTTGTCTCTCTGATACACTGCAGTGTATTTATTATTGGTTTTATTTATTTATTATTTGTATTGTAGTATTGCTGAAGAGCCCCGGTCATGGATCAGGGCCCAATTGCGCTAGGGGCCAAACAGACACAGAACAAAGAGACAGTCCCTGCCCCAAAGAACTTTTGTGTATTAATTCAGGAAGGGGGAATAAAACAACCCTTACCAGTATGGATCATAAAAAATCAGCAGTGCAAGGTCTTTCTGGGTCCATCTTAAGAATAGCCTTTTCTAGCCAAAGATGCTGACAATGATAAGATGCTGTCCTAAAAAAAATATTAAATATTCACTATGAATACATTTGAATTAGATTTTGTGTATCATGCACTGATATTTTTGTATTTTTTTCAAAGTTATTCAGTAGCTCTGGGAAACCTGTTTTCTCAGGAGCATCTAATTATTATCATTAGCAATGTTATTGGTATGTATGTCTTTGCTTGAGCAAGAGAGTTAGGGCTTTCCATATCAGTGAGGTGCTGTGTGTTACATTTCCGGGTAGAGCTGGTTGGTATTAAAAAAAAATTAAAATAGTTTATTTGTTTCCATTTCACAAGGTTCATAATGGATCATTTTTAATTTTTTTGAAATTCTGTTCAGAACATTTTTTTAACATTTTTGAGGTTTTGACATTTTATATATTCAAAAACTTAAAATGTTTCCCCCCATTCTTCCCTTTTCTCCCTCCCCCTATTTTTGCACTGAGTGCAATAAAATGAACCACGTCCTAAGATTTTTTT